AATGTATGAAAATGTACGCAAATCGATTGTTACCTGTGTGCAGTGTGACCGTTTTGATCCAAGTGGACCATAATGTGTTTTTCGATGAATTTGCCAGAGATGTTTACAATTTCTTCGAACATAGTGCTAAAAGTGTGGATGAAGTAGCCAAGTTTCAAAACTACGTTGGTGTTAAAAATCATAAAATTGTCACACGTTCGCTGGTTATCGCTGAAGCAAGCTGTTGATCGTTTAATGTTCCAGTTGAGCGCGTTGCAATTATTTTTCATATCTTGTTTCAATGACGGTGTGAACCAAGTGCGAGCAATTGCCGAAAAATTTGATTCCGCACCAATAAAAATTTATTTTTTACTTTTGTCAAATATTTTGGATATTGTCAATCGAATAAACATTTCAGAGTGAATCATACAGATTGGATAAGTTATAAAACAACTTTGAAAGAAACCATAAACTTACAGGCTAACCTAATATTCGCGGCTTGCGTTTTGGTACGCATGCCGTCGAATTTGTTTTTTTGCGTCACCCGAAATTGACTTGCATGCGTTTGCATTTGATTTCATTGAGCAAAACGTCAAAACAAAATGTCACGCAGAACAAAAATTGGAATTTGAGTTAGCTTCATACGCACGCCGTTCAATTTCGGTTGATCTCATACAAGTTGCATGTGCATGAGAAATGTTTCGACAATAAATTGGCGGCGTGCGTGAATATTAGGTTAGCCTGTTATATTGCCTTTTTTTGTCAATCCAAACTATATGCCAAGTAACCCAACTGATATAGACGTTTGTAACCCAGATAATCATTTACCTATTAAGAAAGTATATATTACTTGTGCCGCAGAGACGTATATGGGCAAATCTAAAAAACAGGTAACCTTGGTGTTATTTAGCTTTATTTTCACTGTTGGAAACTATATCAAGCTGGTTGCTTTTGGATATAATTCATTGACTTATACTTGAAGCCACAAAAAAGATTTGGATCAATTTGCTGCATAACTTTTGAATTATAGGTGTTTAAATTAAAAAAAATAATGAAAACAAGTAAATTTTTTATGTAATTTGTAAGAGGGGCAAAATTAATTATGTCATAACTTTTGAAGCACACCATATTCTCATTTGAAATTTAATGGACATTTAGCACTTATGTGTATACTTCATATGTAGTAGGTAAGAAAAGTGTGAATTAAAAAATAACGAAATGGCAAGTAACTCAAAGTCTGTAACTCCACATTTCACCATTTTCAACATTTTCGGTTTATCGTGTATAGTTTTTGAAGCATTTAATTTTAAGAACTTTTTAAGTATGTATCGTATTCTACAAACAATTACGAATAATTTGACAACTTAGCAAGAGGTGTGCTTTCAGAATAAACCATGTTTTAAAGATAAAATATTCTGAGATCTCGAGCGTAATTTTTATTCCAAAAATATCTTATTTGAAGGCACATTTGGAAAATACGTCGAAACGATCTAAATATTTTTATAACTAATAATCCTTATAACGTTGTATATACCTGTAAAATGCTTCAAAAAAATGTTCTCTAGAAGTGTGCGAAAACGCCGATTTAGTACTTTTAATTATTTTCCTTCTTATAGTCAGAATATTTCGAGCGTGGTATCAAATCAAATTTTTTTCGACAAAGTTTCTGATAGTTGCTCTTACTTAATTGGAGCCTTTTAAATTCAATCGCGTCCCCAGTTTTTCCCGATTGTCTCCAGTTTTGGAGATAGCGGTACTTGAAACTTTGCTTAAATTTTAACTATTTTATAAAAAAACCCCTCCGTTTTGAAGATATTTTACTACAATTTTGCACACGCTTGTATTTTAACATTTCCTTCACCATCTCATAAAATCATCGAAATCGGTTTACTCTAAAATATACCATCCCATACAACTGATTGACCAGAGACGTTGTTTTGCGTTATAACTCCTCCAATTAAGCATGTAAAAATTTAGTATAGGTTCACTTTAACATATAGCACGCATACAATTTATTATTCAGATATGAAATTAGAGTTATAGCGCAAGAACACATATCTGAGTAATCAGTTGTATTGGAGCTATACGTTAAAGTGCAACCATTTCGATAGTTTTAAGGAATAATTAAGGTAATATTAAAAAA